CCATCTCTGGCTTCGATGCCCTTTACCTAAGGCCCAGACCACCCCGACCCTGGCAGTCTGCCTTCTGGGCCTGCCCTGCCAGCCTGCTCCCTCGAGGTGAAGAGAGGTGGAGGAAAGCACCCCAACCGCCCGAGGTTCCCTGTCTTCTATCCCGTGTTTCAATAGCCGCCCCCACTCCCCCAAATAGATCAGGGACATTTGAGGATCCCAGCAACGAATGTTTATGAAATTGCTTGGCTAAGCCATCAAATCCCACCTCAACATGGTGCCCTGGGGCTTGGGTTCTGCTCAGAGCAGACTTTCTGGGAGCCTCTGACAAGATCAAAGACAGGCCGTGGGTCAGAGCCTCAGACCCCGGCTCCTGCTCAGTGCGAGGCACACCCTCCTGGGGTCCTAGCCAATTACAGAGGTTCGGCTGTTGGGTTCCAAGCAGGAAGAGGGAGGGGTCCCCCCAGCCTGCCCCTGAGCCGCCCTCTCCCTGCCTGCCAGGCGCCTTCATGTTTCCCTACTTCATCATGCTGATATTCTGCGGGATCCCTCTCTTCTTCATGGAGCTCTCCTTCGGCCAGTTTGCAAGTCAGGGCTGCTTGGGGGTCTGGAGGATCAGCCCCATGTTCAAAGGTGAGGCCTGGGCTGGGTACACACACACACACACACACGGGCCTATGGGGGCTGTGCAGACTCACCCATCTGTACAAACACTGCCAACCCCTGTGGAGCCCTCATGCTGACCCCATGCCTCACATCAATGACAAGGCCATGGACACACGCTGGGATCCATGTTTGCTTGACCTCCACCCTTCCCTCCTACTTACGTGTATACACAAAACCCCTTCACCCCCCAGCTTGCCCTTGCCCAGGCCCTGACCTGTCCCTTCTGTGGCCTTCCATGAAAGCCTGCCCCTTCGGCCCTTTAAAACGAACCTCGCCTCCTCCAGCTGATGTGTGAGGCTGCTGCTCTCCCGCCCTCCCCCAGGTGTGGGCTATGGCATGATGGTGGTGTCTACGTACATCGGCATCTACTACAATGTGGTCATCTGCATCGCCTTCTACTACTTCTTCTCGTCCATGACAAACGTGCTGCCCTGGACCTACTGCAATAACCCCTGGAACTCCCCCGACTGCGCCGGCGTGCTGGACGCCTCCAACCTCACCAATGGCTCCCAGCCTGCCGCCCTGCCCAGCAACCTTTCCCACCTGCTCAACCGCACCCTCCAGAGGACCAGCCCCAGCGAGGAGTATTGGAGGTGAGGCCCCCCTTGGACCTGGGCTGCAGGGACACCGGGTGCCAACCCTCGGCCCTCCCTCTCACCATCAGGCGACCGTCCGCAGCGTCGGTAGGGTGCCTGCCGCACGGTCAGCCCTCTGCTGGGCACCGAGTGAGGCAGAGGTGCATGAAGAGGTGCAAGGAGCTCACGGCCTGTTCCGAAGAGGCCGACGCACCAGAGAACATGGGGAGACGGGATGTTGAGTTGTGGCGTCCTTATGAGGTAGCAGTTAGGAGCGTCAGGGAATAGGGGGATGGCTTCCTGGTGAGGAGGACAGTGCGAGCAAAGGTCCGGGGGCCCAGGTGGGCAACGGCTGGTCTTGAGCCTGAGGGGCACCTGTTCTGATGACAGTAACAAGTATGTGGGGACACATGGCCGTGAGGTGGCCTAGGAGGGCGCACTGGCCTTCCTGGAGAACCTATGAGAATTAAGCTTAGATTTAATGCCGCAGAACACAAGGAGCCATGGAAGTTTCCTGAGCCTGGGGCTGTCACCCTAAAGCTGTGCTTAGGAAAGACAGGTCCCACTGTGCTCTGTGGTAATGGAGACCAGAGTCTCAGAGCTGCTGGAACACCTTGTCCCAGTGGTGGCTGTAAGAACATCCCGGAGGAAATTCTCTATGTCAAGCTGGAGAACCTGTGGGCAGAAGGCTTTGGGTGCTGATGGGTAAGCCTCACTCATTCACTCTACAGATAGTCACTACATAGCCTGCCAGGCCCTGTGTGCCCATGCGGTGTGAATGGCCTAGGGCTCCTGCCCTGAGAAGTTCGCCGTCCAGTGGGGAGACATGTAGCTAATACACCACAAGCAGGTGCTTCATGCAGGAATGTGCAGGGGTGTGGTGGGGGCACGACAAGGTAGCGGTCAGTCCTAAGGAGATGGAGGCAAGACGATGTGGCTGAGAAGGCTTCTCAGAGGAGGGAGAGAAGGGGTTGGGAGAAGCGAGCAGGTAAGCAGAGGCGAAGAGGTGGCAAATGGGGCTGGGGTTGAGGGCAGGTGGGACACTGAGTATTGAGACAGAAGAAGCCAGCGGGCATCATATGGTGCAGGGCTTCCCTGGCCAGGCTAAGGGTTTGAGGCTTTCTCCTCTAGGTCACGAGAGCCATAGGAGAGATGGCCAAGACCCCAGTGATACTCGAAGTCTTAGTAGATCCATATCCTCTAAGCCCAGTCCCCGAGCTCACACTCCCCAGGCCCAGCTTCCCATGCTGGGCTGTAGACATTCAAAGAGGGCCAAGAGGTTCACTACACTTGGGGGTCCAGAGTTCACTATGTAGACAACAGGGAAGACTCCGTCAGTCACTGGACAGATCATTTCTTGAGCACCTGGCAGGTCCCGGGCCCTGCACTGGGAGGGGAGTCACACAGACACTGCCTCATGGAGCTCACATCTGATGGGAGAACCAAGCAAATACGTACCCACTTCTGTGTTCTGCATTTTAGACATGGTGTGGACTGGGCAACTTGTCCTAGCCTTGGGGGTGAACCTCTCTAGAAGCTCCCAGATGCACAAAGCCCCACCCACATCCCCCAGATGTTCCAGGAGAGCTTGCCATAGGGCGGCCTGCCAGGGATTCCCAGCCCAGTGGGGCCACCCAGGGCAAAGCTCTGGGGAATTTATCCAGTGCAATCAGAGGGGATGAAGAAAACTGGTTGGGGGGGGGGGCAGTTGAACTCTACTTCTCAGCCAGGGCTGGAGCCAGGCCTGCCCAGGGAGCTGCGGTGCCCGGCTGGAGTCCCTGCCAGCAGGATGGCTTCCCGATGCCCCCTCCTGGAGAACCTGGGAAAGTGACCCTTGAGAGGGCTGCCCAGGCTGGCTTCTAAAGGAAGAGAGAAGGGAGCACCCCTACTTCTTGGGCACCTACTATGTGCCAGGCATATTACCTCAGATAATACTATCCTCCCTGTTTTTCCGATTCTGAGGCCAGCATTCGGAGGTTAAGGAGCTAGGCAGCATCGCTGCATCAGGAAAATGCTCCGGGTCCCATCTGGCTCCTCTGTGCCTGGCGCCTGATGTTAATTAGGCCAACGCTACCCGGCAGGTGCTCTTGGTCCACACTCTCCAGCACCCCCTTGGAAAGCTGCATGATCTCATTGGAGCCCCACACAACCTTATTAGCCAGCTTGCGCAGATGTTATAAAATATTCCGATTTTACAAATGAGGAAAGCAAATCAAAAGGAAGATTAAACAACTTCTCTAAAGTGAGAGAAGCCCTGAGGGCAGATGTCTGAGCCCTTGTCAGCCTCTTGCTCACCCTTCTGGCCCACAGTCCTCCCTCTCCCACCTACTATTTAGTCTTGTTTTACAGTCCTCTGTGTGCTGGTCTGATTCCTGCTCATAGCCCTAAGCTCGTGACCAGGCCCTCTCACCCTGCAACCCCTGTGGTACCCAGCACAGCACCCGACACCCAGTGGGACTCGGATCCCAGCACCCCCTCCCAGTGTCTTCATGGCAACTCTGGCGTCACACAGACCTCATTCAAATCCTGGCTCTGCCTTTTACCAGCTGTGAGGCTTTGGAAAGTCATCAAACCTCTCTAAGTCTTAGCTGTTCCTCTATTAAATGGGGATGCTTACAGCACCCACCTTATTGTTATAAAGATGAAATGAGACGATGCAGCAAAAATCACTAAGAACAGTAGGCACAATGATTGCCACTGCTGGAGATGCAAAGAAATAGACAAGATGGGGGGGGGGCGGGGGGAATAGACAAGTTTGTCCTATTCTCAGGTATTTACCATGTGGTTTGGGAAATTTAAAACTAATGCAGAATTAGTCCAGAGATGTACTGCGTCAAGAACCAACTGGTAAATATGTTGGGTTTCCAGAGTTTTTAGGTTAAACATTTAATTTCAAAAGCACATGGTCCAAAATCAAAACCAAACCAAAAACTCAAAATGGTGCCATAAAAATAAAGGACGAATTCATTACTTGGCTCCCAAGTTAGCCTTCTAAACTCTTTAATCTCTAATATTGCAATTAAAAAATAGCATATAATACTGTCAGTTTAACATATATAATTAAGGTTAAAAGTCTCTTGAACAAGAAATGATTTCTTTACTTTGAATGCTGGTGTTTGGAGTGAGGTGACTCCGTACTAGCTGCCGGACCCTCTGGCTAGTCTGGTGGGCGGAGCTTTTCAACACCCATGTGCCCTCCGTCAGGCCCGGCCTGGGCAGCCCGGAGTCCCCAGCCCAGTTGACTTCAGGTTTGAATCCCTTTGTCTGTTTACCCTCATGAGCCAAAAATATTTTTTTCTACCATGGTATGTGCCACAAAGGAAAAGTGGTTGGCAAACACTGCTGAAGGGGACCAGGAGCCCCTCCTTGGTGGTCCCACAGCTCCTGAACTTCTCCCATCCCATGTCTTAGGTTCCTCCATCAACAAAGAGCCTGGAGAGGGCCTAGCCCCGGGCCTGGCTCTGATGCCTATTGAATGAACCATGGCAGTGGCAGGCCTTGGGCAGGAGAGGGAAGTGTTTGGACAGCGCCCTCTGCAGGTCACTGTGTGAAGGGCGACCTGGGGGAAGATTTGAGGGAAAGAGGAAGTAGGCCAAGGTGCTTACAAGTCTAACAGGAAGAGCCGCCAAGCAAATACCAAATCCCATGGGGCAACATTGTCCCATGAGGTACAGAGTAACATCTCATCAAAAGGCATTTAGGCATTAAAAATGTCACGAGGTTTGAGAACTGGTCTGGGGGTTGGGCGGGGGGTGGGGGAGAGGTGAAAATAGTTAAGAATGAGCTAAGCTGAGAGGTCCTAACTGTAAGAGGGGAAAGAAGGGAGCCTGTATTTACCTAAATTTATCTACAAATTATTCTGGGTTGGTGTTAATATACCCATTGCACAGATGAGGAAACGGAGGCTCAAGAGCTTGTCTCTTGCGCATCATTTGTAGCCTGGACAATTGTACCAACCACAGTTGTCCAGGTTTTCCTCCAGGTCTTCCCTTTTTACCTCCCAATTCTTTTACCACAATGTTCGTCCATTGATTCATTCAGCAAATATGTATTGAGCACTGCTGTGTGCCAGACACTGTGCTAAGCACTGGGGGGTACATCAGTGAACAAAACAGTCAAAAAACCCTGCCTTCATAGAGGGAAGATGACAAGCAAAATAAATAGGTAAACTTTATAGTATAACGGAAGGAGACATGTGCTGCAGAGGAAATTATAGCAAAGAAGTGGGTAAGGAGTGCGGGGCTGGGGCCAGGGCTGCAATTTTAAGCAGGGTAGCTAGAAAAGGCCGCTTGGCAAAGAGGACCCCTGAGTAAAGATCTGAAGGAAGTGAGAAAGGAGGGAGCCATGTTGACAAACCCAGCTGCATAATTTGTGGGCCCAGTGCAAAATGAAAATATGAGGCTCGTTCAAATGTATTAAGAATTTCAAGATGGCAATGGTAGAACATTAAACTAAGCACTAGGCCTTTTAAAACACAGGGTCCTGTGTCACTGCACAGGCCACATACCTATGTGTACATATAGATATTGGGAAAAGAGCATTTCAGACAGAAGCAACAGTATGTGCAAAGGTCCTGAGGTGGGGGCAAGCCTAGCATGGTTAAGGAACAAGGAGCCCAATGCAGCTGGAGCAGTGAGCCAGGTGGAGAGCAGATGAGGAGATCAGAGAGATGGCAGATAGGGGGCAATGGATCACTTAGGGCCTCATAACCCCTGGAAGGACTTTAGCTTTTCCATGGCCAGAGATGGAAGCTGCTGCAAGGTTTTAAACCAAGAAGAGACTCTTGGAGTGCTCTTACAAACACCTGTCAGAGGCTCCCACTGCCCTCAGGATAAAATTCAAACTTAGCCTTGACTTCATGGCTTCATATGATCTGGTCCCTTTGCCTTCTCTACCAACAAGCCCAAGCTGGGCCATGCTGTTTCAGGACCCCCTGTCTTGCCATGTGCTCTTTCCTCAGCCTGGCATGCACTTCCACTTCTCTTCACCCACCTCCTCCCCATTCCTCAAGCCTTAGCTCAACCTCACCTCTTCTGAGAAGCCTTCCAGCGTGCTCCTCCCCATAGGGTTGAGACGCCCCTCCTGGCAGTGCCCACATGCCTGATCCAGGTCTGTATGCCCAGCACCTAGCACAGGGCCTGACAAACAAATGTCCAGGTGATTGAAAGCACCGCTAGCGTGGCATAGAGGCCACATAGACCCATGCATATGCAGGCGAGGCATCGGGCCTGTGTGCTCCTGAGCCTGCAGTCTACTCAGCATTCGGCTGCCTCCCTCGGTTCATCAGAGATGGAGGAGACTAATGTAAATGAAGAGGTCACAGAAGGCTTCCTGGAGGAGGTGACGCCTGATGGGATGTATCTAGTCTGGAGGAGAGGGCATTCTGAAGGGAGAAATGTACACCTGGGGTGGGCCTGAGTGGGGACAGAGAGACCTCCACACCCCAGGGGCTGAGGAGGTCTGGCCCAGGCCTGGAGCGTGGCTTCTAGGGGCCTTTGGGGGTCCTGGGAGAGGCTGCAAACAGTGAACTCCCTGGGGACAGCAGTCAGGGAGCTGGGCCCCCACGGTGGCTCCTGTCTCACGAGCGGGCTCCTAGTACCTTGTGAGAAAGATAGGAGCTGCCAGGCGGGGCCTGGGCCTTGGGAATGTGTTGCTGGGCGTTGGGGCTGCTGCTCAATGCAGAGTCTCCCCTTCCCCAGGCTCTACGTGCTGAAGCTGTCCGACGACATCGGGAACTTTGGGGAGGTGAGGCTGCCCCTCCTCGGCTGCCTCTGTGTCTCCTGGGTGGTCGTGTTCCTCTGCCTCATCCGAGGGGTCAAGTCTTCAGGGAAAGTAAGTGCCTCCCCTGCCAGGGTCTCAGGGTCTGTGCCCCCAGGAAGGGCCTGCCTCCCCTGCCTGGCTGTGTGTGTGTGTGTGTGTGTGTGTGTGTGTGTGTGTGCAGGGGGGTGATGAAGGGCCATGGGAGGGATGA